TTTATTTGACCTAGGTTTGGTCGGTCCCTCGAACCTGGTCGCTGGCCATGTGACTTCCTTGCTTTCCAACTTCTCCTCTATGGCCGCCAAGACTTCACCCATCTGGGCGTTGATAGGAGTAAAATGATTATATCTCTGACCATTTGGTAGCCGAGGTCGCCCTTGCCAGCGATCTTCTCGCCTATCTCGGAACGAATTTTGCCCATCCCTCCTGGGCGACGGCCTCTTAAAAGATCCTCCTCTTGGGGAATTTTTCCTAGGCGATCCCCTCCTAGGCGAGCTCGTCTTTCCCTTTTTCTGCTCAGGTTTCACAACGTCCTCGAGCTTGGCAAACTCTGCTTCCGTTTCTTCCAAGCTAATGTACTTCTTGCATCTTTTGAGCACCTCATCGTAAGTTCGAGCAGGCGTCTTTGCCAGCGACGTTCGACATGGTCCTGGCCGTAGACTTCTAATCAATCCTCCTGCTTTCACCTCGTCACCCGCTGTGGGCACCTCCAGACACACCTGATTATATCGAGCAACATATTTCCGTAAGGATTCTTTCTCGCCTTGTCTCATTGCCATCAGTGTAAGGTATGTCTTCTCCTGGGCGACCGCACTTGAGTATTGATTAGTAAGTTGTCCTGCGAAATCCTTAAAGTCTCTGATCGAACCTGGAGCCAATTGGTGGAACCCGTCAAGCGCACCTCCTCGTAAGGTCGACAAGAAGGCCCTGCAGCTGACCGGATCTGAGTATCCATGTAAGACGGACATGTTTTCGAATGCTCTCACGTGCCTCGACGGGTCGCTCGATCCATCGAAAATCAGGTTTATCTCCCAGAAACTCGCAGGTAACGGCGCAGCTAAGATTTCCCTTGAGAATGGGTGTCCTCGAGCACGTCTTTCTGGCCTCCCTTCCACCTTCTCCTGCAATTGCCTAAGCTGTTCGGCCATCCTCTCCATCGCTCTGTCTCTATACTCTCCTCCTCCGCCATAACTCGACATGTCCTCCTCTTGTGTTCCCTGCACCGTTGTCGGCGCAGTGGCAGCCTGGGATGTCTGGTGAGTGGCTTGTTGCACAGCCTGTGCCGCCGCGTCGGCCACCATCCTTTGCACTTCTTCTCTCGTCATGGCCACCACTTGTTGAGCAGGGGGTTGTGGTGCTCCTCCTGTTGGCGGCATCATGGTTTGCACTGTTGGCCCTGCTTGCTGCGTCACGACCGGGCCTGC